AAAGTATTTCGCATGTCACTTTAAATTATGTATAAATCGACTATAATTCCAGTATCATTACGTACCATAATATTCAAAATTGGTTCGTTACCGAAGATTTCCTAAGTGGCCATTACTAAATGGAAAACTTGGAGCTATTAACTTCGTCCTGTCGTAACAGTCCAACTGGCACCCGGCGCCCGGGCCTTTGCTACAATCTTTTATAATCGATCCTGGAACTCTGCACGCTTCGGAATTTTCAGGATCGCTTTCTTTTTTCATCACGTTGATTGCGATCTCCTGAGTGGATTCCCTTTTTTATTGAACAATCAATAAAAACGCTCACTAAGACTCGGAACGAAATCAAATGGTTCATATAAAAGAATTAAGTTTTATTTTAAATGAAATTGTTGCAGAAACGAAATGTTGCAACTTATTACTACCTTAAAATAAATTATTATACCAGTATGGCTCTTAGGTAAAAAGACGTAGAGGCTTCTATGGTTAATAAACAAAGGTCATTCGAAATAAAAACTAATTTTAGTTTAGCTAATTTACAAAAGCATTTTGCGCATAAAAGAACAGACCGAGGTAATAAATACAACAAAGAAGTAACATAAATGTAATATTAAAAAAGTTACAAAATTAATAATTTACGTACAAGATGAGGTTTTTATAGAAAACATGATTTAAGTAAGTTTATCACAAAGGTTCGAAAGGGGAAATCAATTTAAAAATAGATAATTCAGAGATGTCGCGTGGGCGGACTACATCTAGTGATCAGTAATCAAGGCGACACTCCGCGGTCGTCGTTTTGCGTCCGGAAATTTATTTACTATCATAACTATATTTACCAACTTAAAGAAGAACTATTTCATAAATTAAAAGGCATTAAGACTTACGTTTCGTATACATCTTTTGTTAACTAAATACTATAATATTTATACACTTGCAAACAAAATATTATAACTTGTAAAAATAAATCTATACATATTTATAAAATTAAAGAGCGTCTGTGGCTCAGGGGTCAAGCACTTGACTTGCAATCTGCAGGTCCTGGGTTCGAATCCCGCCATGTATCAATGTGTTTTTCGATTTCCGATTTACATATGTACATTTATTCAAAGATATGTGTGAAGTCAACCAACCCGCACTTGGCCAGCGTGGTTGACTATGGCCTAATCACCCTTAACTTAGGGTAGGCTCCGAGCCCCTCGGTGGAGACGTATAGCGAGCTGCTGATGATGATGATTGATAAAATTGGAGTGTTTGACATAACGCAAAAAAAAAACATTTCATATAGTACGTATTTGCGTTGTTCATATCATAAAAGAAATTAAAAAATCTGCTTGCCCACAAAGCAGCGTTTGTTAAGGGCAATCTCCGAAACGGCTGGACCTATTTTCACGGGAAAGAAAATGCACGCGGGAATTACACAATTTTTTCTTTTTAATTCTGCGCTGTCGAAGCCATGAACGCTAGTCGTAAATGTATTAGATGAAATATTTCATAGCAATTTAATCAAGTAAAAAACAATATTACAAAGTTCTCATAAATGTGTATAAGTTTAGTAGCACCAAATTTTATGCGAGATTTTACGTCCTGATATTATAATCTAACATAACCACATCACAGAATTTATTAAAAGTAATGTTTTTATCAATCTGATACGCATTGAAACCTCACGTACGTCTTCTATATTATTGAAATTACGTGTAATCAACATACTTTGCAACAATGACAAAGTTCAACGACCTATTGACAAGGTTTACCTGTTCAATACGAGGTGGCGGGCTGGCGGGCTAACGTGACAGGTCGTATTGTGCCCACTGCCGATACAAACGCCCGCTAATGTGAAACGATCGACTTTGCGAACGCGACGCAACGCGACTACAAAAACATTTCCGGTGTTACATTTTTAATTCATTTGCTCCGCGTCATGTTTCAACAATGTATGTAACCTTTGTGTTTTCATGTAACTATTGAAAATATTAAACCCTTTTAGATTTCAAAAAGGTTTTTGTAAAGAGGATGCTTATAAAATTGGTAAACCAATGAAAATTATATTGTTACCTTAAATTGTATGGTAATATATTTTAATTATTGGTACCACACCTATAATTACTATTTTTCTCAGGACATCTATGACTATGCTTGAACACACATCTACATCAATCACCATTGTTTATCCGACTTCCAAAATGAAGAGGTTCTAAATTCATCTGTATGTTTTTTTAAACAAAACATCCGACATTATTACAATGAGATAAAAACTTGTTTCTAGGCAATATTGCCAGGAATAGGAAGTATGCTATATAAAAAAGACATACAAAAAGTTGGCAACAGTCAGCGAGCACGCTGCAGTGGTGGCGTGACGTCAGCGAGCGATCAATGGACTGACGTCGTAACGAAAGGACGCCCCTCCCCACCCCTCACCCGTCCCTCCCCCGAGGACGGAGGGGTTCCGCCCGGACACGTCTTTGCAAATCTTATTCAAAACAACGAATAAACTTTAATTGCGGAAGCGTGTTTATAACTAGTTGTAGAGTGAGATGCAATGAAACTTTTGTCCATTAATAATAATTTAAAAAAATAACGAAAATTATTCTAAAGTTTGCTGATTGGTGAGTCGTTATGACAAGTTACTGTTACTAATCTCCTTATGTCATTCTCAATAAAAAAACAAGAACAACCTTGTAAAACATTCATTTCAAGTCGATTGCCCAAACAATAAAATAAATTCTTTCGATAAAATATTCCAATTAGTAATATTAATAAGGGTTTAATTAACTCTACATACTTTAGTACGATTTGAAAAATAGCGCATTCATGTGGTATCCGTGACGTAGGTCTGCCGTCACGTGGAAACCCCAAATTTATATTAAATTCAAAGTTATTGCTAAAGGGTCATGTTACACAAACACGAGTTAGTTATAATAAAACTAAACACGTGCAGAGTAGGTGAGGTTGTAGATTTAAAACACGTTATGTTAGCAAGGCAATTAAAAATACAGTATTTGACCTGGTTTAATGTAATTTTATTTAAAAAAAAACTTTAAAAACATGACATGTTTGTACGCGAAACACGAGAATGCAAATAATTTTAGTAGTTAATTAAATATTAAAATAATCGTACTCGAAACCAATGTCAAAAAAAATGAAATCGACGACAAAAAACCTCGCAAAAAGTACCAGGCTGTCATAACTCAACAGAAGTTACAAGTAGTGAATCAAGAAAATATGAAAAAGGCAAATTTCGGTGGCAATTAAACGAGCGAGTACACTTCCCACGTACTTCCGGTGGAACTCTGAATTATATAAGCTGTTGAAAGCGGGGGTGGGGGGAAGGGGCGCCCTACGGTATGTATCGAACGTTGCGCCTCTCGCTCATACTGCAGCCGTCTCTCTCGCGCCTATGACACTCAAATAAGCCTATAAAAAAACTCGCCAGGACAACGATATTAATATGGATATTAAAACAGTAACCAGATTTTTACATACAATACAACCTTATATTCGATCCCTTTAAAATTAATGTTGCTCAGTATTTTAGATTTGAAGGCCATAGAGTCTTATCTTACTTATATTAGAAATAAAAAATTTAGTTGCATAAATAGATGGACCGAACATGTTTGTTAAAAGGTATCTTTAGAATGTCTGCGTGGATAGCACTGAGAATTTGACATGAAAGTAGGACATAGTCTGGAAAAACACAAAGGCTACTAAGTTTTTTAATTCCACACGGATGAAGTTATGAGGTACAGTTAGTCTCATATGTGTTAGTGTAAGCTTATTGTACACAAATTAAAAATAAAGTAATTATATCAAAGACCATAGTAGACAATCACAAACAGGGTTGGCAAACTGCCATACAAAGTGACTTTAACCATACAAACAACTAATAGTAACAAACCAACTTATTTATTATGTTGATAGGATGAGAAAAATGCTGAATAAGATATGTACAACACAATATATACATAAGTTTCTCGGTCCAAACATTTTTAATGTTAAAGCAGTTCATCTCTAGACTACAACAGACTGGAAAACATAATTTATACATGCAATATGTCATATTTTCATTATTTAATTCTTTGTTTGTACTTGTTATATAACTTTAAAACTAAATTTTACTATCTACACTAAGTATTAGTGAAATTTACTTGATACTCTACTTATGGCTTCTCAAGTAATATACCTTACCATATTTCAGAAATATACAGAACTAATTCTTCACATACTTATAAAAAGTAATGTAATGAAGAAAATAATGACAGATTTTCTAATTTCCACATCAGATTCAAAATGGTTTGCTTTGTACTTGTAAAGAAAACATAAAAAAAGTTAGCCATGCAAAATAAATAAAATAAAATCAATGTTAAATGACCTTTAGTGGTAATAAAACAATGAACAATCTCATCATGGGTAAATAACATAAACTACATATATATGTTAATTTCAATTGCAAACCGGAAAACATCATTGAGATATATGGGTTAAGAGGGGATGGGTTAAACCATATTGGGTTCATAGACCAACAAAAACCATGGTAACATCTTTTACAATAAATTTGAGTAACAACATGACATGAAACATGTTCAAAACAAATGCAGTGTTAAGACATGTATTTATAATTGAACATTGCTTTCAAAGATTATGTTGTATCAGTACATTTAGATTATCCTTAATCTTTGAATGTAGTCAAAACATTTTAATGTTATTTAATAATTACTTTCACCAGGTTTAGGCACTTGTTTACTATTACAATATGTCCATCTGTCTCAGTGTAAATTGACATACTTTAAACTTAACGCTTTCAGTAAAACCATGGAATGCTTAAAGAATATTGTTGATGATGATATAAGAAGACGTGACCTGTTTTAATGTTTTATCAGCCTGATGGATTTACATAATTATGCGGCAAATATTGTTATTAATAATAATTAGCACGTCCAGACAACCACTTGATCTATTTCGGCACGACACATTATAATTACAACAGACGAATAAGAAATCCTTACCTCTCTCAAGCCGGTCTTCTTAGTATAAAACAATCGCCGACAATATGGACCACAAAATTATCACGTTATAAATACGATTTAGAATGGATTATTCTATATTTTTATTAGAACAAATGTCGACGACGAAATAATTACGGCGCGTTTTGACATTTCAATAAATTATTGCAACATTCTGAAATTGACATGAAGTTAGTCCAAGAAAGCCATGTCTGTAAGTATTTTTTAAGTGAAAAACAAATTAAATTTTTGTGCAAAACTTAAAAAAAAAAGTATAAAATCTAATATAAATCGACATTCTTAAAAATCTAAGCAGCTTTCCAAATAATATCTATGGAAAACCCATAGACAAATTAAAAGACCGGTTTTTTGTCTATGCAATGCAGACTATTGTCTATTCCCCCCACATCCGCCGTCTGCCGCACCGCGCACGACGCATCGTTTTCTTTCATAACGGAGTGCATAGAAGACGCCATTTTGAAGAAGCAACCTCTTTTGTGTTCTACTGCTAAATAAGTATTTTTGTAGTTGTGGTGTTAAATTTCGTTTGTAGTGTCTCTTAAAACCGTAAAAATTGAGTCGGGTAAGTGAATTCCTCGTGATTTATTGCTTTATATACATATAAATCGGTGCTAGGACCCTTATAGACTTATGATGGACGCTGCTGACTCATTTCGTCAAATTGTGTATGCGTTTCAGAAACTAAAATGCCGGGCGCCGGTACTTTCAAAATCTTCGTCGGGAATCTATCCGATAAAACAACGGACGCCGATCTTAGACCGCTATTCGAGAAATACGGTACGGTCGTAGAATGCGATATCGTCAGAAATTACGGTTTCGTGCACATGGAAAACGAGCAAGTCGGCCGCGAAGCAATTCAAAACTTAAACGGCGAGTTAGTACATGGTCAGGCGATTAAAATAGAGGCGGCCAAGAGCCGAAAGGCGCCGTCGACGCCGACCACGAAAATATTCGTCGGTAACCTAACGGACAAGACGCGCGCGCCGGAGGTCCGCGAGCTGTTTCAGAAGTTCGGCACGGTGGTAGAGTGCGATATCGTGCGTAACTACGGCTTCGTGCACTTGGACGCGACGGGCGACGTGAACGAGGCTATCAAAGAGCTGAACGGTATGATGGTGGACGGCCAGCCCATGAAGGTGCAGCTGTCGACAAGCCGCGTCCGCCAGCGGCCTGGCATGGGCGACCCGGAGCAATGCTACCGGTGCGGTCGCGGCGGCCACTGGTCCAAGGAGTGCCCCAAGGCGCTGGGCCCAGACCGCAACGGTTTCCGCGATCGAGCTTTCGGCCGCGACCCCTACCCCCCGCCGCCGCCGCCGCCCTTCCTCCGCGATCGCATGATGGGAGGATTCGGGGTAACGCGTTCCATTCCATTCCTCTGTTGCTACTCCCGCTCCGCAGTCGTGGTCAGAGCGTAATCGCATCACGTAGGCCGAGCGCTTGGACACACTCTCCGCACGGTACCTATCTCGGGCTGCCCCATCTCAGGCTCGGTGATGCTACAAAGCTTACATTTGAGTTGTTTAGTCCAATAATTTCAGTTGTGCCATTAAATGCATTTTTAAGATATTTTATTAACAGTGAGTTACAAATACTAATGATGTTTTCTTGCAACAGGATCCATATGATGGGTACTACGACCGTGCGAGGTTTGATTCGCCCAGGGAACTGTTTGAGAGGAGATATCCAGTGGGCACTTCCCGGGGACTAGAGCTGGGAACGTCGCGAGGTGCGCGAGGCGACTTCGTGTCACCCCCGCTCCGGCGCGAGCCAATGCCCCCCATGCCCAGTCTGCCGCCGCTACGCAGCAGTATGGGCTCCATGAGATCCTCATATGACACAATGTTCAGCCGCAGGAGTCCACCTCGAGGGCCACAGATGTCCCGAGGGTAAGCATAATTGGAATCATACTTTGACCATGCTTTCTATATAGAGATATATAGTCACACTATCACGCTTACAAGCATAAGTAAGAGTACTTGCATTAGGGTGTAAAGCCAACAGTTTATTCAATAGTAAATATTTTGTTTATATATAAATTTGTAATGTAGATTACGAGACTTAACTTTTGGGCCTAGATTCTGTCTATTGATGGTATTGCAAATTTGATATTTGGTATAATAATGACATTCTACTGGGGTGTCACATATCATGGTCTCCATTCATTAACTTGATGCCAACTAACTTTGTTGTCTCTGTTTTTCAGTATGTATGAAGATTTTAGCAGAGACACATTTGATGACAGAAGGTAAATATCTGAGATTGTAAAATATTTTTTTATAATCAATTATAAATAACAATTTAAGTTACAAAAACACAAAGTAACATGTTTGTACCCTTAAAGGGCGGCTATATAACTTCAGTTTTAAATGCAATTTAAATAGAACTGAGAAAGTTTTGTTAAAATGTACATGTGTAAGAAAAATTGTAACTCATCTAACAAACAGTTATTACTTGCTTCCACATCTTTCAACTGAACAATTCAACTATTCATTTGCTTTTAGTCATCTTTATATATGAAGTTTGTCATCAGTTTTTGTTTGATAGTTATTTTAATGATGTAATATTTTCACAGACCGGGTCTTCGAGGTCCCTCCCCCTCCAGGAGATACGCGCCTTACTAGATATTTGTGGTCAATGTACTAATGTGATGACAATTGACTGTCCGCTGAATCATTGAGTTGTTATTGGGACAATAATTTGTAAGGATGAATGCGAGTGACTTATATGCAATCTAATATTAGAATTAAATATATGGTTAAATAGACTGCTAACTTGAAGTAATGTAAATAACTAAAATAAATCTCATTTTAAGTAATGACTGCTTTTTATTCCCTACAAATCCTGAATTGAAATATTTAAACAGAAAATAATGAATCGCATGTACATTGTAGTCACTTTGTTCAGTTAAAACAGGTGTAGCGGGCTTTAAAAAAGTAGCCATCGCCAGCGCGGAAATAAAAAAATTAACCTAAGTGTTCTTTCAGACTGTTTGACACGTATGCCAAATTTCAGCGACATCTATGGAGCCCTTCTGGAGATATCTTCATTCAAATATCCGTCCATCGGATTAATAATATTAGTAAGATTGTGAGATCTTATGTAAACGTAGCTATTTTGCTTAATGTCTTATAATTATATAATTTAAAGGAATTATCGATTTGTTCATTTATTTAAATCTAATCAGTTTGCTTATTAGAATATTTAAATTAGAAAAATGTGGTGCCACGAAGTAAACAGTCGGACATTTTAAGTTTAAATTAAAGTGTTGCCAGTTCTTGTGAAATTATTTAAAAAAAGTAAAGTACCTCATTACGATTTTTTAATTAATACGAGGTTTTATAGAAATCAAAGTAAATGTGTACACAACTATTAAGAAATCATTATCTCTATTTGTATTGAGCTGACCAAAATATACATTATATATTAGGATTAATATTGCCTCAAATTTTCGTTGTCTAGTTGCGAACTGAAAAAGAATTTATTGAATGTTATTCCTGTCCAGATCACTTAATTTGATTTTCGTTGCTTTATTCTCAAATCAGTTGCACTAACTACTAAATGGGGTTAAAAAATAAAATCCTTTGTACATGTCCATTAATATTTTATTTAATCTGTAAACTTAGCGCGTACAGTCGCGTGCACAATCGCGATACATTAACACTATATAATAAGACACTCGTGCGAGCTGCGCGCGCGACTGTACGCCGACGTACAACTACCCTCTATATTTACAAGACAATGTACAATTACAAGCGCACCCGCGCCTCTAAATGCTGCCGCGTACGACGCCCGCTCTCACCAAACACCAAATCTTACAATCTTTTGTAAAAACATCCTTAAAATTCCACTGTCAAAATACTTGTATTGAAAACATATAATTTATCTCTGATTTTTCATAGACAATTAAATGTATGGCAATAATTTTATACAAGTAAAATATTCGACAGTAAAAACACATCTTTACACGCTTGACTAAACAAAGTTAAAGTACATTTGACAAACAAGAACATCCTGAAGATTTTTTCTTACATTAAAATAACAGAACATTTTCAAGACAAATTCAAAGTTTTACGTAGCCTACATTTGTAGCTCGTCGTAAACAGTCTTACGATGTTGCAAATTATATTTGCATTGTCTATGTACAACTTATAATTAAATATTAAAATAGCTGCTACAAAGGGCAAGTGACCATCTGTCATCAAACTTCAAGTGTCTGTTTTGGATTACTATTAAAAAAATTGGTTTAAAAATATTAGTCACATTTGTAATTATACGTTTTAGAGACTTTATTTATATTTTCTGTGTTGTCTTAACACATGTACGAGAACATTGTTTTGCTGTTATTTTTTTTTTTGGAAGGACCAATCTTTTGTGTACTGGTGTTACGCCAGCTGTCTGTGGCCGGGGGCCGGGGGGCGCGGGCGTGGAGGTGGGGGGGTGAGAGCGGGGCCGAACATTTTTACACACTTAAGTACAATTTCACTGATAAATAACGTTGAGGGTCGAGGCGATGGATTTTCATTTGACGTCATAAAAATAAAGGAACTTAATAAACAACCATATCGACAGTTTGGATGAAAACTTGTTAAAATATGAGTTTCACTCAATGACATGAAAACTCAAGCAAGTAATGAATGAAATCAATATAACGTATTCACAAACAAATGATGTACTTAAACATACTTTTATAAAATTAATATTAAATAATTATTTAATTAGAAACATAGCTGCCATGATGTAAGCGAGGTGGGCGTGGGTCGCCTCGGCCCTCAGCGCGCCGGCTGACTCTCCGCAGCTCGACACGACCGAACCGAATGAAGCGATTCCAAATTTCCTTTGTACATTAAATTTGTAAGCAAAGTCTTATTGTCGATACATATCACAAGTCGCGGCGCCGCACGCACACGGAAGACGAGATATTTAAACCTACGAAATTAACGTAACAGATAAAATAAAATACATACAAATTCATCGGAACGAGAAAACCAAAGACGCGCTCGAGAGCCGCGGCGGTCTCGCGCTGCGCCGAGTAAACTTAACAATACTGAGATTTAAACAAAGCGGTGGTCAGACAGAATTTCACATCGATGGGGCTCGGGGCTGCTGATCGAATTTTGAATGCGATTCGACTCTCGCGAAGGAATAAATAGTGCGTATCGAGGAACTTGGGTCACACGAGCTTGGCCAGGGGCTCGTTGTGGAACTTGGCGAGCGTCTTCTTGACGCGCAGCGCGGTGAGCCGCACGGGCGGGTTGGCGTGCCAGCACTCGGCCATGGCGGCGGCCAGCGCGGCCAGCGGCTCGGAGGCGAGCCAGCGCGAGGGGATGAGCGGCCGCACGCCGCGCGCCACCACCACCGCGTGCATGTCCTCGAACGAGGGGTCGGGCGGCACGTGCTCGTGGTAGGGCAGCGCGTACGCGTCCACGTGCTGTGCCTTGTCGCCGGTTGCACAGCGGCGGCACATCTCCCACAGCACCAGCCCCAGCGAGTACATGTCGGCCATCTTGAACGCCTCGAAGTTGGCGACGTCGAGCTTCTCGTCGAGTACCTCGGGCGCCATGTAGCGGCGCGTGCCGACGCGCGTGTTGGGCGCGATGTCGACCTCGTTGCGCTCGGAGACGTACCGCACCGCCAGCCCGAAGTCCGCAATAGCGCACTGCCCGTTGCGTTTCACCAGGATGTTCTTGCTCTTGATGTCGCGGTGCGCGATGGCGGGCTTGCCCTTCGTGCCGAATATGTCCATGTGCAGGTGCGCCAGCCCGCTCACGATGGAGTACGCCATGGTAAGCAGGGCGTGCGTGTCGAGGACAACCGTCTGCAGGTAGTCGTGCAGCGACCCGTTCTCGTGGTAGTCCGTGATGAGAAGCATCTGCGTCCACGAGCCGGTGCCTTTGATGTCTGCGGCGATGAAGCCGAGGATGTTCTCGTGTCGCATGAGCACCGTCTGGTAGATTTCCGTCTCTCGGAACCACGAGGCCTCCTCGGTGGTGAAGAACACCTTGACGGCCACTTTCTCTCCGCGCCACCTCGCGAGCCAGACCTCGCCGTAGCGTCCCTTGCCGATGGATTCGACCATTTGTATCTGTTTGGCGACGGTGCGCTGCACGAGAAGAGGCAGGCCGGAGCCGGAGCCGGAGGAGATGTCTGCGGAGTGTGCGGCGGCGGGCGGTGAGGGGGGGCGCTTGCAGCCGCGACGCCGGCGCCGGAACAGCAGCAGGAAAGCGGCGATGAAGGCGAGGAGGGCGACGCAGAGCGCGATGGCGACCAGCAGCGTGGGGCTGGCGGGGGTAGGCGGGCGCAGGCCCGGCGCCTCCGTCACATCGGGCGGCGGCTCCGGCAGCTGGGGCTGCAGCCGCGTGTTGCACATGTCCGCTTCCGAGCAGCACTCGATCACCTTCGGGTGCTGGTGTGGCACTTGTGAACTTTTGCACTGAAAATAATAAAAACACATCTATTAATACAATATGCTCGAAGGACGCCCCATGACGTGACGATTTCAAAATATCGCCATATATTAATAATTGCACAAGACTTTGTTCATAAGTCGCGATGTATAATACAATACTGTGTACTGTTTTATATATTCTTAATCAAAATGGCGATGATTATTATGATAGGTGGAAAGTATGCCCAGGTAGATGTAAGGTGGGTACAGACCTGCATGAACCCAGACTCGTCGGGCGGCAGGCAGCCGGCGGTGCGCTCGAGGTCGAGTCGACCCGAGTCATCGAGCACCTCTTCCACGGTTGCGAAGCAGTAGCCGCCGGGCTGCGTGAAGCACGTGCCGCGAGCCGCGCCGCCCGGGCACGCGCCCGCGCCTGCGCACTCGCACACTATGCCCCGACCTGCAACACAACGAATCACAACGTCAGTCAAAATTGTTCACAATGTCCACAGAGTATAAAACCGGACGACTCAATCATTTACAACTTCATATCAATATGTAACAACTTGCAATGTAAACTAGTTGCGTGGCAAAGCAACAAGGTTGTCACAACAGATAAGTGGCAGCATCTCAGGTGCGGAGATGTTTGTTGAGTTGTAATTAAAATGCCAGTCGCGACAGCGATGAGATGTTTATTGCCCGATGATGTGACCTGGCGTTGACGACGTAATTAAATATATATTATATACAGTAGGACAAACTTATTTGGCGCTATTATCATAGTAAGTACCTACTGTCAGAAAATCTGTATACACGTAAACCTACTTAGGCATGTACTGTAACGGCACGCGACACCTACACTCAGACAAGTATCTTGTAGCACTTTTTGACATTAACACGCCTTTACCATTAGTTCCACTTTCCTCACCGGGCCAGATAAATTTCTCGCACCATAAGTACCTACTGCATCTTTTCCTTACATTACAATGTACTAAAAAAACTACTGTGGATATTGTAATTCTAAACTAAACCTTATGATATCTTAATCGTATGACTAAAATTGAATCGAAAAATAATTTGAACCATTATTAATGGAACACCAATTGATTGATAAAGTCAAACTAATTTGAGGTCATTAAACGTTAACACAATTATACACATGGTTTTGAGTACGAAAGATTTCATTATTCAAGTATTTATAGTATATTCAAGTATAATTCCTGAATACAGCGCATCCCTAGAACCTTCTAGAAAGGATTAAGAGATTTTAGGGAACTTAAAAAAAACTCTTTTCGTCATATGGGTGGGATGTGTCGCGAACGAGACACTCCAAAAAATTTAACCGACGCTAATCAGTCACGCACACCGCACACCGGCCACTTGATACATCGCATCGGTGCAAATAGAGCACACAGATAAACCAACTAATATACGTAATTTATACTGTACATAGACAATTAATACTTTACATAAGTAGACATGTCTCAAAATACATAAACACAAATATGAACTAATATATGTTATGATCCTAACACAAACAATATTTTAATCTTACTAATATTACAAACGCGAATGTTTGGATGTATGGATGGATGGATGTTTGTAAGATGGTATATCTGGATGTCGCTGAAATTTGGCACAGATGTAGAACACAGCCAGGAAGGAGTTAAAGGCTACTTATTAAGTTTTTTCCGCGCGAAAAGTTGCGGTCTAACTAGAAGTCCAGTCTCTGTCTACCCTGTTGGTTTACGGATGTGAATTATTTTCTAACTTAGACAACAAATTCCTTATAAGTCACTGCTGAGCTGAGGAATTCGGAGATCCAATTACTGGTCAGTATACAACATTACGCTCTACTCATTACTGGGTAATCGCGTTTGCAACAAAGTAACTCGTTGGGCTTGAAATTAAAAACGTATCTATTTTATTTATGGTCCTATGCTATTGAAATTAGTTTTTTTTAATTAAAAAGAGGGCAAAAGAACAGAGGGATCACCGGGATGATCATCGACATACACAAACACTGAGCAACTGCATTTACGTTGCCACCAATCTTTAAGTTAGAGATATACTCGATTGTTGAAGGACACTAAGTCGTACTATTTACAAAATGTATGTAAGGCCTACGTTGCTTTATTTCGGATACAATGAAAATTCATATCGAATCATATTTTTGAGTAATTTAGGTAATTGGTAAAGCCATGTACTATTTAATATAATTTGATGCATTAATGTAATTGTGTTATTCACATAGTAATATTAATTTAGACACTTCTATTTATTTGACATGCAATTGAAAACTGCTGGTTTCTGAGAGTAAAATTCCCGTTTAACGTAACAATATATGCTATAGAAATTTTGGTCTGAGAAAGTCGTTTCTACTTTTTCCATACACACATTGGCAGAGCAATTCAACTTGTGATGAAATAAATTGTTTCCATCAAGTATCCATTCATAGGCGACATGTTTTAATATCAGTAATAACATAGACTCGTCTATTATGTTATTATAAAAATAAATTTAAAGGCAATTCCAGATAAAAGTTTTACGTGATTTACTATTTGGGGGAAGATCGAAAGGCCAAAGCAGCATATCTCGGGACCCCGATTGGCCGCCGACCCAGGTACCGCTGGCGAGACACCGTAGAGCTGGATCTGCGGGAGCTACAAGCGATAGACTGGCAGGAGAAGGCGCAAGACAGGCGACTTTGACGATCTCTTGGGTCGGAGGGCAAGACCCACTTCGGGTCGATGCGCCAGCGGAGTAAGTAATGATTTACTCAATCGATATTATTACAATAATTCGTTGAATAACAATTAATTAGTTTATAAATAACAAGTTAAATAAATAGATTATATACTCAGAGATATCATTATAATTTAAATTATTATTAGACTTTGGTTTTAATGCCGTCCATTTTACAACACCTCTAATCTTATCATTGTTAAGTGTTACAAAAATTAGCCTAATTATTATCGAGTGGAATAATTTTATTTATTTAATGTACTCATGTTGTTGACATCTAGATCTAGACTTAGGTTGTGCGTTATTAAATACGTAAATTATTTATGCCACATTAAATCTACATGGTTAGAAAATCGTATTCCAAGTATGATCAAAGGAGATTTTTTTTAATATATATCATAAGGTGGCAAACGAGCGAGCAGCCACCTGAATTCGCTGAAATAGCGAATTGACCGTTACAATTTTCAATGTATATGTGTAATTTTAAAAGAATAATGATGTTCAAAATATTCCAAACGAAATTTAGATATAAGCGACATATTTTAGCTTCAATACCTTTATTAGTTCAGAGCCAAATGAATAAAATATACGATATTTCCGACTATTACACTTACATTTCCATTTAGTAGATGCAGCTCTTTTCGACGAAGAGATCGACTTTTTTTTAGGAAATTCGAGAATTGTGTTGTGAATGAAGCTATAGTTTATTTTGATGCCACTGGGAAACTTGTGGCGAGCACGACCTTGAGTATACGAAGAAGAAGAGAAGGATACCTGATGTATTTACTTTGGGTATAATGTTTTTACGTATGTAAGTCATCCAATAGCCAAAAAGCTTTTGGACGCGACAGATTTAGGAGTCATTCGATTCGTATTCTTACTAAATTAACTCAGGATATACGAGCTTATTGTCATTGTATCATAGATATATAATTTTAGCACTAAAATTGAAATCACTACGCAATTATCAATGATAAAAGTTTTATATGATAAAAATTAAACATAACACCTACAATGTTAACTAATCTTATAGCAAAAATAACAAGACAAAATCAATGAATTTCTACCTAAAATGAATATGTAGTAATTCCTATTTACTTTTAGACATTATTAGTTTGACTCTTATGGTATCGAATATGTTATCTTCTAAAGACACTTCAGGTAAATATAATGTTAAAAAAAATTATCAGGTAATTTTAAACTAATAAATATTACTTTATTAGATAAAGAAATAGTTTCAAGTTAACTATAAAATATTTAACGATTAATAAGTTAAATTGAAGACATTTAAAAGTCTAGCCATTATTAAACATATATCATCTCGAGATATCGTTTAAGTCGAGGCATTGTGTAGTTTTTTGAAGGTCCCGAATCAACAGGTACGGCGACCTCAGACTTAAAACGTGCCCCTGCAGGATCACAAAGGGATATTAACAATGGAGGCACAGGTATATTTTTACTACGATTTCTATTCTAATGAATTATTCAATTTAACATTTTATAATCAGTTTAAATCACATCACAAAACATGTTATTACGTTTACTTCGGTTGTCTACAGAGAAAGTTTAATAATCATTTTACAACCAGTTTTAAGTAATTAAAAGTAAATATGAAACGGTTTAAAATAACTGAACCAAAGGTAATCGAATGTTGGCCGTCAGGAAGTAACTCTAGATCGAGTGTGCGGTTACAAATAAACACATTAGCGTGGCGATGGCGATGACAGTGGGAATGGCGAATGGCGACAACACACCCGCGAATGGCGATAGCTAGAACTGCCATAGCTACAATAATCGCCTTACGTTACCTGATTAGCATTCGATCGGCAGCTAAGACGGAATCTTACTCGCGTAACACTCCTACACTTGTCTACTAGTTAACGTTTACTTATTCCTCGGATATGTAAAACTACAAGGACAGGAAATGATGAATTATTCAAGACGTGCATTGCATCGTCCTCGCACTGAACAAAATCCTTTCAAAAACAGAGGGACACAGAGCCACAGCCACTGAACACTGACAACAACAAACGAATCAGAATGAACGCGTCAACAAACAACACCCTGGCACATCAGCTGCCACCTCGCATCTCACAGCATCTGGATTCTAGATGTAGCGACTACGTAGTTTAGGATAAGGATTCGTACTTAGTCTCATGTCGGCGAGCGTCCGAGTCCGAAGGTAGATCTTCCTCGCGTTCGTGCTATCATTTAAATATAACTTCGCACCGACACCGCCGTCTGTCGCCGGCTTTATTTTTACACTACGAAGATCGTACACGGTCGGTCACAAGGCACGCCGTCTCGCGGGAGACGGTTTCACAAGGTTAGCGCACGCCCGTCCCAAGCGACGGTTGCGAGACGAATGAGTTCGCGCGGCGTCCCCCTGGGCAGGTCCCCGCTCGCCCCTCCCCCTCCTGCCGCCCCGCGCCCCGCGCGTGCGCTATGCATATGCACCGCTGCAGCCTCCACATGGCGCGAGTGCGAGATAAAGAGGGCGAGGGGCGCGGGGCGCGGGGCTGGGGGCCGCGGGTAGCGCGCCGGCATTCGGGCCACACGAGCGCGCCGCACAATTCATTGACGCCGCGACGCCCGCCGCTAGCCGCCCGCCGCTGATAATGTCCGCCGTTTGTTTATTATACAACACGTAAACATTAGATCGTCGAAACATCTATTTGATAAAAACTTTCATCATAATGTGCCTTTTTAATATTATAGTTGCCGAATATATCAAGGGTCCATTCATTCGCAACAAGGAAAGATTTTACCAAAGAAATAAAGCGCCATTCAATTTTATGATATAATGAGGTCAGTTAAAATTTGGGAGTAATAAAATAAAGAAGGAACTAAAACAATGGTATCGTTATTACCAAATGTCTTGGAAATTTTTGCGCGGCGAATAACGAATCCATTTAGCGAGACGGGCGTTACCTACAGCACGATCAAAGTCGATGTCAGTCGGAAGCTGTGTCTTTTTATAGTTTATGATAGTCGGCGCGGGCGCACATCACATCGCCACTGCCGGCCGCAGCCGCCGGGCACGTTATTATGAGAGACGCTTCCAGTAGAACATTACGGCGCAGCTCGGCTAATCGATAAGCTATTAATGAGATACTTTTACGAGCGTCGTATCGTTTTGTGTTTATTGTTATTTCCTTCGATCGTCAGCACTGGCTGGAAGTTATCGATGTAGGGAGCGGCGGGAAATGCAACTAAAATCAAATTATAACTATAATTTAAAGATGGTTAAGTTTGTCGTTAAGTTTTCGTTAGGGCGTAATCTCATTGAGCGAGCCATATGTTGGTGACATGCGTCGCCGGCTGCCGGCCAATTGCCGCAATGAGTAACGGTAGCGGCGCAGGCAGCGCGTTGCATCTCAAGGACCCGCCCGACGCGAACAGAGCCGAGATGCAAAAGCAAAGCGGCACACCTCGGCACCTATATAAACCGGCTTTATATATTCCTCGTGTACCCGCGGGACGCCATTGTTCTTGAGGCATAGCGTCGGGGCCGCGATTTGCAAATAATCGAAGTTGTTAAACTAATGCGCGTCGCGAGCCGACTTAATGCTACGACTATTTCCGGGTGACATAGTCGATGGACGCAAACGGAGCACGGCTGTTTCCCGTGAGATACAATATATGGATCGGAAGCTCATCGGAGTGAATCATTAAGAATATAAATCACGACCGCAACAAGGTATAGCGGAGTGGACTTTCTCACAAACTGGTGCTGGGCCGGTCGGGCGGCGCTTTCCTTTCGACGAGCGGCTCTCGATGTAGTGATATTTGAGCGATAATCGGATAAAACGATTCGAGTCCTGCTACTGATCGTATAATTCGATTTGTAATAAAGATATCTGGCAGAGCGACGGCCTGCGATTAGCCTGATGTATGTATTGCATCGCACTGTATCTGAAGCGAGGGCGGGACGCCTACACTACTCCGCCGTCTGTTTTTGTTAATGCGTTCGAGTTGATCACAGGTTAGATAGATGATTTTAACTTAAACTTGACATTGATACTTAAATATACTTTACTTTTGATGTACTCTACTTACAACTTGTATTAAACTTACATACATTTGTTATATGACAAATAAGGCACAAGCTAAGTTATTAAGCTTTAACTGAAAAAATCACGGTTTTGAAGTTTTTAAATAACAAACAAACAGAAAAACGAATCCTGTTAATAACATTAGCAAAGCTTAGTTAGTCAGCAACCATTTCAATGTAATTGTGTACATTCACGGAAGCGATTGTCTTAATCCAGTTAGTGAAGGGGAAGTCGTAACAATCGAGTTTAAGCCGATATTAGCAAATCCATTCGCAATATCGATGCACGAATCGATTAATTTACGGAGTAACGTTACGCCCTCTTTTATCTGGGTACAGACGGGGTCGTTTATTTCCTACCCATATCGATGAAATGTCTAGACCTAGCAAGTAAAAGTAAAAAAAAAATATAAGCACACAATGCAATTAAGCTAACTTGTCACAGCAACATAAATATTGCTAAATTATAAGCTCATATAGTGACAGTTGTCTCTATGATTTTCGATACTTAGTGGAAAGTGAATTTAATTCTTTGTCTGTAGTTACATACGAGTTCGTGACTGCAATGTCATTTGGTAAGATCCCAGGCGTCAGTCGTAAGGTCGCAGATATCTCGACCCCGCGGATTATCCCACAACATCGATAAGGAACAAGCTTCGAAAATCGAATCGAGTGACAATATTTATGTAAAATCGAGGATAATGTTTCAAACTTTTTAATTTTATTTTTTTAACCGGTTTAATAGAGAACTATTGCAGTCACACTTCTATTTCACAAAATATTTCCAAAAATTACTTTCAAGAAGTCAAAATAGTCTTCGTGTAAATGAAATCCTTTAAATTAACCAGGGTACATCCCGTCTCATAGTTAAAATTGACTATAATCCTATATGGTCACCCTATAAAGAACATAATTTATTCGGCGGCGTAGTGGCGGCTCCCTCCCGCTCCTGTGGGTCCCTTCCCCTCCCCCGGACAGGATCCCGAGGATTTTTTGTCAGCCAAGGATTAGAGAGTATCAGTTTAAACGCACGTTACGTAATAGATTTGACACACCCTCAATCTTGCGGAGGTTTAAACTATCGTTTTTTTTTTTGTTTTATACGTAATTTTCAAATTAGTTTTTTTTCGATTGAATTATATAAAATTTTAAGAGGCAGAAGTTACCGTGTCCTGATCTCATTTTATTACTTTCCTTGTTGTTTTACCAAATTATAAACTTTAATTAATTTATATTGGAAACGAAAATTCAATTATGTTCGGTTGTTTTTAGCAATATAAACAGAGTTGTTTTTAAGTAGCCTATCCATAGCGTACAGCCTTGCGTCATTAACTAAAAATACTGCTGTGACATGAATGACGGCCGACGCGTGACAATGGTATCAAATCTTTTCGTATAACTCGAAGCAATTGTTCCACCGCGCTTTTGACTATAGAGAAACGGACTTGGTAAAGAGCTATATACTAGCATACTAAATAAATTCTGCTTCTTTGCGTAAGTTAAAGATGCCTGTGTCCATTTTAAAGCGACAGTTAAGTAATATTTAAACTTTTTTATTAATGCAATTCAAAAATTTACTTACACAAGATTAGCTCACAAGCAAGTAAGTTTAAAGCTTGTTGTTCGTGTTCGTTTTCATTTGAATTTTATTAGCGCGCTTGACAGATCCTGTCTCTTAAAAATCAAGTGGCGCGCACGCCGCGAGTTTTAATTCACTCTTCAATCACACAATGATGACAATAAACAATATTTATCGACTGCTTTTTAAATGAATGCGATACTAAATTGATTGTACCGAAGTTGATTTATACTTCAAGTTGACAGGATAGGATATATAATAACATTAATTATCATCTTTTATTACCGGAAATAACATACTGTTATTATAAATTAAGTTGTGTTATGAAGAGGCAAGTATTTGACTAAAATTACTATAATAGAACAATAGTCAAGTCAAACGCTTGAATGTTATTCCTCAAAATAATAAAAAAAACTAAAAGATATGTTACAAAATTTCTATTGCCTGATTTGTCTTATAAATTAAATATTACTATACATAATTATATTTTATGTATAGTAATATTTAACCTTACCTGTTGGTAGTTATATTTTGCACAAGTACTATCTTGGTGTATTTATTTGTGAGTTCATTGATTCCCCGGCAAACAGCGCGTATCAAATATTGACAAAAGCTGTGGCCGTTATCAGATTACCTGACGTGAGAAGTGTCAGCGAAGACTATCTCAGGTTCAAGAACTTCGTTGACATTGAGGAGAGACCTGATATCTTCGACATACAGGTAAATTACATACGACTTTCAATACGCCAATTACCTTTGTCAATAGCTTAAGTTTACTTAATACTTGTTTCATGGTCATATAACTAAGAGTTGCCAGTATCAGTTCTTCCCTTCCCACCGTTTTTTTCATATAAGGAAACGATTGGAAGAGGAAGTCGAATTTCCGGATAAGATGAT